TTGGAATATGAGTCAGATGGATGTAAAATGTGCATTCCTGAATGGCCCCGTATATGAAGAAGTTTATGTTTCACAACCAAGTGGGTTTCTGAAACAAGGCCAAGAAAGAAAAGTATACAGGCTGCATAAAGCCATGTATGGACTCAAACAACCTCCAAAAGCTTGGAATAAGTAGATTGATAGTTTCCTAAGGAATAAGGAATTTTGGAAGTGTAAAACTGAGCATGGAGTATATTCAAAAAGAAGCAATAGAGAATTGATTATATTGTGTCTCTATGTTGATGACTTGTTAATAACAGGTAGCTGCAAGAAAGATATCGAAGACTTTAAAGGTGATCTTAACAAAAAGTTTGAAATGTTTGATATGGGAACCATTTCATCCTTCTTTGGTATCAAAATCTACAAGAGTAGTAGAAGCTTGATGATGCATCAAATCAGATATACAAATGAAATACTCGAAATATTTGAAATGGAATACTGTAATGAAACATCGACACCTGTTAAACCAAGACTACGAATGTTAAAAAAAACTCATAAGAAGATGATGTCGACCCAACACAATATAGAAGACTTATTGTTTCATTAAGATATATTTATCACACAAGGCCTAACTAGCATACAGTGTAGGTATGATGAGCAGATTCATGTAGAAGACAAAAGTATCACATTTAGCAGCGACGAAGAGGATGCTAAGGTATCTCAAAGAAACTCTCGAATATGGAATTTTGTTTCCTGCATTTGATGAAGGAAAAGAATGTAAGCTAGTGGGATACACTGACTCAAGTTGGTGTGGTGATGTTGCAGATAGAAAACCCACAACTGATTATGTGTTTATGCTAGGTGGTATACTAGTTGCTTAGACCTTAAGAAAATAACTAGTAGTAGCATTGTCGTCGTGTGAAGCAAAGTACATAGTTGTTTCCCTTTGTGCATGCCAAGCAATGTGAATGGTGAATTTGGTCGAAGAATTTACAGGGAAGAATCATGGAGCAATTACCTTGAAGATCGATAACATGTCTCCTGTCAATCTAGCGAATAATCCGATAGCACATGGAAGAAGCAAACACATCAAAATGGGGTTTCTTGTCTTCGAGAGCAAGTAGCAAATGAGAAGCTGAAATTGAAACACTACATAACTGAGAATCAATTGCAAACATCATGACGAAAGGTGTGCAGGTCGAAGTGTTCAAAAGACTAAGAACAATGATGAATGTAGATAGCTTAAACACAATGAATTAGGTGGTGTGTCCAAAGTGTAATTTTTTGTGTCAAAACACCATTTCGACAGAGTTTGTTGTTTTTGAAATGCTTTGTGCATAAATTGTATAGTTGTCGAAATATTTAAGAAGTGTGTTTTCGACATAAACTTAGACTTAAATTTATTTTGTGTTTTTTATCTCAGTTAGGTTAGTTGGAGATTGTTTGGTGTGCAAGCAATCTCAACCTATAAATATGGAGGTACCATATCATTGGATTAAGGCAGTTGCATAGAGAAAAGATTGAATAAACTTTAGTTTGAAGGCATAGAGAAACTCTGCATAAATATTCTCCTTCTTCCCCTTTTCTCTCAAACCCTGATTTCTCTTTTCCACCCCAATTCATTTTTTTTCTTTTCTTCTCAAATTTTTTTGCAGCGAAATCATCTTGTAACCAAGGTGTGGTTGATTTATTGGAGTGAAGAGCGAAGAACAAGAGGAGGAATCAATCTGAAGAAATAATTCTTTTTCATCAAGATTGATTTGGAATTCTCCAAGTTTTGAGTGAAACTTCAACATCAAGGATTTGTTGAAATCCCAATATTTTTTGTGAACACTCGAGTACCCTTGAATTTAGTTGAATATTGATATCCTTATCCAATAAAACAATCACATTCAATGGCATGTCAGTGTATATATATATATATATATATATATATATATATATATATATATATATATATATATATATATATATATATATATATATATATATATATATATATATATATATATATATATATATATATATATATATATATTGAAATAAATTAATATTTTAAATCAATTTCCACTAAAGCTACCGATACTCAACTAATTATTATGGGTATGTAAAAATTTGCCTACTTACTGTTGTTATAATTTTTCTTCTCCCAGTTGAGAGTTACGGTTCCTGATCTCTTAAAAATATTTATGATCACTTAAGAATCATAACTATTCACTTTTTGGTCACTATTATAAGTAAATTTGAAATTTTTTTTTACATTTGATAATTAATGTATTTAATCCATATATAGACTAAATACGTTAATTGTCAAATATAAAAAAAAAAATTTAATTATAATAATTATAATAGTAATCAGAGAGTGTACATCAGAAGTCATCTAACTTAGGGATGACAATTTTATCCATTACCCATATGGGTAGGCAGTGGTGAAATCAGGAATATTTTTTGGATTGACCACTAAAATAAACTATAATATTTAAATTAAATATAAAAATTATATTGCATATAAAGATTTAAGTCGTAATAATCGCAAAGTTGATTACTTGAAAAATGAGTTACATACCTTAAAATAATACTCTACGTGTATTGAATGACTTGAAATCATCAATAATAGAGTCTGAATTAATACATGCACTAATTTCTCTTTCAATGTAAACAGTCATGCTTATCTGCTAGAACTCGGCCTTTCATCTTGTTTCGTAACTTAGGATTGATAATTTTCATTGTCGAAAAAGATCTCTCAGTTGTGAGAGTAGAAACTGAAAGAGTCAAGATAAGACAAAGTAGTCTATCAATCGATAAGTAAATTTTATTCATATTATTTGCAACCTAACACGAGCATAAATATGTGCATGAGCTCCAATAATTACCCACAAAAATAAGCGGATATGGATGCAGGTATGAGCACCTGATACCCACCCCATCACATACCCATATAATATATATCTATGCATTTTTATTTATATTTATATTTTTTAATTTATATTACTATATAAAAATATATGTTTATCAATTTATAAAATATATTAATGTTAAATATTACTTATTTAATAGAAATTTTTGTTTACTTCAACAATAAATTTTTTAAAAATTTTGTAATGTTTTTAGAAACTTAAAACTATATAATATTTTATAATTGATTGGTTAATTTTCAATTTAAAAAATGAGGATAATAGATATAGGTATATATACTTACATATCTATGTAAGTGGCTATCTTGGCCAAACTCTAGCCATTCTTATTCCCAATCCAATCTTGCATCATTAACCTTTCATTTAGTTTTTTTTCTGGTACAGAATAATTAGTATTAAATACAGAAGATATAATTGAAAAATAATGATAAAATTATATATTAAAAATTAGGCAAAAATATTATCTAGATTTTTTAAGTTATTTTAAAATGTCAAGTTAATTATCTAATCTTTTTTGTAACGCTTTAATTTTTTATATTAAATAATGTTTACGTCAATAAATTGCAAACTCATATACTATTTGAACTGGTTTTTCGCGCTGATCACGAATATGCAATCAAATTTATTAAACAAGTTACTGTTCATGAGAATCAGGAAAAAAAGTGAACAAATATATAATAAAAAATCGTTCGATCCGATCAAAATACACAATCAAACGCAAATTTAATTACATATTCATGAGTAGCGCGAAAAACCAACTTAAAATGATATATGAATTTGCAATTTATTATAATTAAAATTTTTATAATAGTCAACACGACAAATGTTACTTAATATAAAAAACTAAAACGTTATAAAAAAAATTTAAAGGAATATCTTGATATTTTTAAATAATACTAAAATAGTATTTTTTTTTTTTGTCTAAATATATTTTTTAAACAATTGTTTTTAAAATATATAAATATTCCTGAACGAAGAGATGCCTAATGTATCCCAAGACCGTCCGATTTCAGCATTGGGAATCTACTCCATAATTGGCTGGATTGACTTGAAGAATTACAACCGTCCAGTTATGCGTAGTAAAACTCAGCCGTTCGATCAAAATAATTGTGGTACCCACAGTAAGGAACAGCCTTGGTTTTATAATATACCATTTAAAAAAGAATTACGAATCTCAAGTTCTCAACCATTAACCAACTTTTCTTTAAATACTGAATTAAAAATAATTATTACTAAAAAAAATTTTAAAAATTGTTTTTCTCTGATCCTATTTTATTTTATCCATGGCGGCCGACCTACTCTCTACTTTCGAGAACTAATGCACCTTGCTTTAACAACCATCAATGAAATTTCAACACGTGTATATGCTGACGACAAAACTCATGTAAGCCGACCTTAGCGTGGACCCCACCGTGAATGGAACCATATGTTAACATCACCACCACCACCACTAGCATTCACAACCACTCACAATAAGTTAACACATTAAGAAAATTTTCTTTTTAGAAAATTAAATAGAAATGGATATGACGGAATAATGGAAAATAAAAATTTAATTCTAAAAACATTCTTATGAAAAAATTAATTACAATACACCAGTTTAATTGAATTTTACATATTATACAAATTTAATCTGAAATTGATTGTAGTAATAGTAGTTGCGGTACAAGTAGAAAGAATATATAAAATAAGATAAGATCCCTTTTATTATTGTATTTCCATATATTGACATAGCACCTTTTTCAAAGTAGTACATTTTCATTCCTTTTTCCACATCTTACTAACCCACATTTACATCCTCAACCACAAAACTTAGGTATAATTACTTTAGTACAACAAACCTAGTATATAAAAAAGAGTCTTACCTCTTTTGCTAGAGACGCATGGTTCGTACCCCCATTTTTGCTAAACTGCACCACCAACTATTTTCACAGGTGTCTTTTATTTTCTACTACCCAACTTTTTCCACTTCTATTGGATTTTTGCTATATACATACAACTCTAGAAGGCACTATAGAACAACATTTTAAAAAAAGAAAAAAGAAAAAAAAAAAGATAGTACATGACATAGGGTCATCATAGCAAATAAAATAAAATTACCAACTATTAATAATACCAACTATCTATCCCCAATGGGGATCTATGTGGAATTCCTTTTCTTCTCTTGGCTGTTCTGTAATTAACAGAAGTTGGAGGTGGTGTTGATGGTGTGAAGCTTTGAACTTTGATTTTCTTCTGACGGCTATGAATGTTGCCGTTGCTACTGTATGAATCTTCGGATTCTGATGCCATTGCGGTCAATTGTTTCTTTTTCTTCTGGAAATTCTTAGATGTTCCTACAATCTGCATTTCACATTCACATTGATTTGATCAATCAATTAACCAAAAAAAATCAAAATTGAATAGAATTAACATAGGTTTGTTGAACAGTAGTTTTGATTTTTTTGTAAATTAAGGATTAAAATTCAATATTCAAATCCCAATATTCATGTTTGTTAAATGCTTTTGAAGAAATTAAGGGAAAAGATTAAATTGATGATACAAGAGTCTCGTGAATCAGAGTACACATTATGGAAAAGTCAACTTAAGTTATTTTAACACATAAAGTTTTCTTTTAGCTTGAAAGGAAAGCTAATCAAAATCAAATTCCAATTTTTAAAAATTGTAACCTTCCTTAAAATCTTTGAAGCTAATCAAAATCAAATTCCAATATGAAGCACGAATCCAGAGCAGAATCCAGAATCCAGAGAGCAGAACCGAGAGAGCAGAACTTTGATCTCGGACAATCATCACAATGGCGCATATAATACTTTGAAATCTGATTATTAATTGAATGAGTACCTTGCAACCGAGAGAGCAGAACCGGAAGGAATCAAGAAGACTACGCTCGCAAACTTCACAAGTGTTTGTGACACCTTTTCCCGGCCTTGGCTGAGGCCTTTCATTCAAAAAGACAACTCTTGCACTGTTGATAACATAGGTTTGAACACCAGTGATGTCCAATACCTTCTGAATCTCATTCACCCTAATCACATCATGGTAAGAAGATCTTCTAATCTGTTCAAAAACCACAAACAAAAACACTTAGTACATTCAATAGACCATAGTACATTAAATATACATTAGAAACACTTAGTACATTCAATATACATTAGAAACACTTAGTACATTCAATAGTACATTAAATATACATTAGACCATAATAGTTAAGCTTCATTCCCACCTAAAACACTGATTCAAAATAGCAAAATAGCAGCTTAATACCAGCGGAAAATAATTTCGTTTTGAAAAAAATAATCACAATGTTAAGGAACAATTCTAGGCAAAAGAAACTGATAAAAAAAACAATGAAATAGGTTAGATCTCACAGAAAACAAAACTGAAACTTTGAAACTTTTGCCAGTCAAAAACAAATATACAAAATGTGTCTAGAATGTGTCAGATTCTAAGTTTTAGTGCAAAAGTAGAACACTCTAATGAATTGATTCAAACAATTTACCTGAATAAAACAATGATCTTTATGATAAGCAAGACAAAGAGAACAGATAGGACCATTCATACAATCCAAACAATACATATTACATTCACTTTTGTGAGAATCAGCATGTAACTTGCATTGAACAAAAAAAATTTCTTTTAACAAAGGTTTCAACCATGGTGGCCATCTATGGTCATCCTCTTCATCAGGACCTCCAACACCCTTTTCAAAAAAAATCAAAAAAAATTAGACAGTACAATGTCAAAAATAAAATCCTTAAAAACACAACATTAGACAGTACCATGATTCTTCTGTTTTTTGGTTTGATTTCTCTGACAGATGTGTTATCTTGGTTTTCAATTGCCATTAGTGTGTTATGTTTGGTTTGAATGTGAGAAGGAGAATGATGTGTTTGTTTTAGTTGAGAGAGAAAGATTTGAAGTTGAGAGTTTGAGAAAAAAAATGTAAAGAAGGGAGAGGGAGGGAATGGGTTCTTGTAGGACTTGGAAGCGGTAGAGAGAGTTTTTTTAGAGAGAGGGAAAGAAGAGTGAAGGTTAGGGTCGTTCTTATCCGCACAAAGTCCTCATCCAAACCTAGCTCCGAACCTAAAACCAAACTAAAATGCGTTCGGATTAAGGAACCCACCTCATTCTTTCCTTTTTAATCCATTTTTAAATATTAAGCGCACATTCAAAAACCATTCAAAAATTATAATATATTTTTAAAGAGATTAAAAATAATGAATTAGTTTTCCATCAACATTTAATAAGATTTTAATAATCACTTATATCATATAAATATTTTTAAATAAAAATATTATTTACGTGATACATGTTTCTTATTAATTGATAATATATATATATATATATATATATATATATATATATATATATATATATATATATATATATATATATATATATATATATATATATATATATATGAATAACTTTTTTCTAGAAGTTTTATTTATGAATATTATAATACAGCAATAAGAATTGTTTGTTACATAATTTTTTTAAATAATTTTTATATGATTATATATTTTTATTAAAAAAATTAAATCAAAATTTTTAATGAAAATTAAATTTAAACATTTTAAGTATTTTTCTTTTTATTATAATTTTTTGCATGGTAAAATTTAAAAGTATATTTAAAATAAAAAACTATTTTGAATTTTTTTACATTTAAGTTATTTTTAAAAGATTCTTTTTATAAAAATATTAATTTTTAATTATATCAAAATATTTAAAAATTTATATATACTCCTTGAATATCAACATCATTATTTTGTACTTAACAAATGAAATCAAAATAATTTCTAGAATTTTTTATTATTTTACCAAAAATTAATATATTATTTTAGAAATTTTTTCATAATAAATGAAAATTATAAACTTTATTTTAAATTTCTAAATGTATATAATTTTCCAAATATAATTATAATTATAATTAATATTACTAATTTGATATGAAATATAAAAAGTTAATGATAAAAACATGTATACGTAAAAAGTAATTTAATAATTTATACATAAAATGTACACATTGACTACATTACTTATTTTTCAATATGTAAATATAAATAAAATAGAAGAAATATTTTATAATTTAAATATTATTTAGTTATTATATTATTATAATTATTATCTAAGCGTGTATATATATATATATATATATATATATATATATATATATATATATATATATATATATATATATATATATATATATATATATATATATATATATATATATATATATATATATATATATATATGTTTGGTCTCCAATATATTATATATGCTCTATATCTCTTCTCCTCATCTGAAAAGAGTTCAATGCATTAGTAGTATCGATTAAAGAAGAATCATAAGTCAATAGTGTTTGTCATTCGTTTGTATTTACTTTATGTTTAAGAAAAGTATAAAATTATTGTGTCAATAAATTATTTATTCAAGTATTTCTAATATTAATTTTTGAGAAATTAACATGTTATAGATTCTAATTTATATATATACTTATATTATTTCACACTAAAATAAAATTATAATTTTAACTTTATTATTGAACATATTTATATAATTATTATTAAATTATTCCAACAAACTACATTCATCACTCTTGAATAGCACCATTGTAAACAACAAAACTCTCATTCAAAGTTTTAATACCACATTTTTTTTTACTGAATTTCAACCTAATATCTATTGTCAAATTGAAAGAGATGAATAAACTTCATTAACACTATTGGGTCATTTTCACATTGTTTCTTTGATCTTATCATTCTTTGTTTATTATTATTATTATTATTATTATTATTATAAAAAAAATCACTTTCAATTTCTATTATTTAAATTTTACTTTCGTTATCAGCTATTAAAGCAATATTTCCCACCAAGTATTCATTTTGGAATCGACTAGCGTGTTTATAAACTATAATAATCAATGTCACCTTTTTTTATATATGGTAAAACATCTGATGTTTTTTTTGGAACGCTCAGGCTATGTCCTAGTCCAACTTGAATTTGTTATCAATATATGAAAAATCTTTCAATTGTTAACCAAAATGTACTAGCTATATTAGGTCATGTCCCTACTATTTGTATAAAAAGATGAAACCGTTACTATTCCTTTCATAAGTCTTTGTTTGTCAATGTAAAAATGTAAATGAGCTAATCATAGTTCACAACCAAACATGAACTTTGTTTGGCAGCGTGAGGTTAATTTCATAAAAATATTAATGTAATCAGAAGTTATGTAGTGTTTGAAGTAATTCTACAATAACTAATACTTAAACGTATTAATAATAGAAACCAACTAAACAATCGGAAGTGTAGGCATCATGTTGGCCCTAATCATGTGGGTTAGGTTTTGGTTGGCCACCCCTAATTAGAGTCTAACAGAACCACTTGTTTGATTCTAGAAATTATAATTATTTCATCAAGATCTCTTGCAAACAAGTGTCGAAAGAATACTTCTTAAGAATTTTAAAAAAAAATTATAGAAAAATTAACTATTTTAATTTCTGATGTATTATATTTTTAAGAAAAATTGCTATTTTAAGACTTTTTAAAGAGTGTCTTTGCAATATTAGTTAGCATTTCACCTATTTGTTTATAATTAGAGGGGATGACCTGGTTCATCGGTCTAAGGTGCATAAATAGATCTAATGGATTTATAATGTATTTAGTAAGTGATGAAAATTAATTTTGTAAGATTGAGTATGATAAAAAAAAAAAGGCTGAAGATAAAATAATTTATATTTGTTTACATTCTTACAAAAGTGGGTTGAACGTAGGCATGTTAATTTAGCTCATACTTAGTAAGAATCTGCAAAAAAATATACAAAAAAGGTAGGGTAAAACACCACATAATAGATATGAATGCGAGTAATTACTCACTAAAATAATCGAGTATGTATCATACCTCAATTTTGTCCCTACCCTTTTCATATCATTTGGCTATGGACATTTGAATTTCATCTGATGTTAGGATGATAGGTCTCTATGTCATGGCTTCATTCACCAAGTCATTCTTCATGATCATACATCATTTCATGTTCATCATAATCATTGGATCACAAGTTAACATTTGGTCCCTTTGATTATGTTCATAAACATCATTCATTTCATTCATCACATCATTCCATTTTATGTATGTTAAAAGTTAAACAAAAGTCAACTAAAATAACCTTGCATTAAAGAGAAAACTTGTATCCATCATATTCATCACATACCATTTAATTAAGACAAGTTTTGAATCATATACACACATCACCATCTCATGACCAAATTTGAATCCCATTTGTTACACATCATAATAGCATCACCATCATTTTAAATCTAAGCAAAAACAAGTTTGAATTGACAACATACAATTTGAATCATCACCATTATAATAAATAAAGTTTCATACATGACCAAAGTGGAACTAGCACATCATAACAATCATGATCTATTCACCATCATCATCTTCGTTCAAGATTCAAACAAAAACAAAGTGAATTAAAGAAGAACCAAAATTAAATTTGAAATGACAAAGAATTCATTAACTCTTATTCATTCATGGTCACATTGCATAAAGCCATTACATCATGTACAAGCATGGAATCATCTTTGCACATGGTGGAGTCATAAGATTTTTGCAACTTTGAAATCCTACAAAATCAGGCTACAAAAATCACACAAGGATCACACATGTTACAGCTCATCAATCTCACACTTCCCTCGCCCTTGCCTTAGACGAGTTTATTAACAAATTCATATGATATTTTCACAATTTCACACACTTGAAATAAAAAATCACACACTCACAATTAACCTAATCTTATCCTATTTAATCCAAATCAATTCACTAACACTGGACGAGCCACCAATTACACAAAAATTCAAAGCCACAACCCACACGGTGAGAGCAAGAGTCTGCAACACCATTAAATCCCAAAACCTCCACTAGAGCTCTCTTCTATAGCCATTGGAGATTCTCATTGAAGCTCTAATTAAGCCGAGCTTAGTCTCTAAGCATCCTCGGTGGAATTAACATAACACCCAGAAGAATTCAAAGAAGGAAGAACATATAAGAAAAAAAGAAAAAAAGCAAATGAAGCGAAAAAGAAGAAGTAACCTTACCTGGAAGAAGCTTCGTCGGAGTTCGTCACCAAAACCCTTGTTGGTTTTATTTGGTAATTAGATGTTGATTTCACACTTGTTTAATGTTGATTTATGTCTTTGCATTCTCCTTGATTAATTTCCCTATTTTAATTTTGCTTGCTTGTACTTAATTGGGACGAATTGATGGATCTATGGTTTTTGGGGTCCATAAGGATAGGGTTCAATTGGGTGTGATTTTGTGGTGAGTTGTTGTTTTTGAACACATATTTGTGCTTAGGATGATTTTTTTAAGGTAGGGTTGATGTTGAACTTTTCTGATTTTGGGTCAGTTTGCATGAACTATAGGTTCAGAACTAAAGAACACTCAAAGTGTTCTTGATATTGTTCATTATGTTCATTGTTTTTCTGGAATTTTAAGGGGTTTGGATCCTCGAGAGAGGTTAGAGAAAGTTGTTTTTGTGTTAGTTAGAGAGAGAAATAGTTGAGAGAAATGAGAGATGGATCTGCAATACTCTCTTTTAATCAATGATTTTCACATCTCGAGGCCCACGTGGCATTTCCTTAGGCGTCATATCATAGCATCAGGGGCCCATGTACAGGGATCCCCGCGATGCTCTCTCTCTCTCTCTCTCTCTCTCTCTCTCTCTCTCTATATATATATATATATATATATATATATATATATATATATATATATATATATATATATATATATATATATATATATATATATATATATATATATATATATATA